CACATATAGCTCCCCATTTTCCTGAATTTTCCCATCTCCACAAATAAATTTCAAGATAGAGACCATGTTTTTACTTCTACTGTATCCAACAAAACCTGTGGCCCAGAGTTGAGCACAAGATTGTCACTGAGTAAATAACCATTGATTGATCTGAAGGGAAAACTCAACGTTATCCTGAAAGCCAAGGGGAAAACCATATAACTTTGGAAAGGAAAATATAACTATCAGAAGGACATGAAAGCAGCCATGTAAACTTTGAAACATAAGATCTTGTTTGTTCTGCAATAGTGTCAGAATCAAATTTTTCGTTGAGATAAAAATAAAAAACAATCAAATGCCATCTCATAGAGATGCTTAATGTCCCACATCCAAGTAATATATAACCCCAAGGCCACCATTTTAGATCAATTATCTAAAAAGTGGTCAGAAATGTAGTGTGCGAGATTCTATAATTAGATTGTGTGTACCTTGCAAAGTTAAGCAATCACATTCTGAGCTTTCAGGAGCCGCTCTAGTTTTGCTCTGAAATGGTCCAACACGTTGATGATGAGAATAAACCCATTTTCCTCTTTCAAGCAGTCTTCAGACTATTTCATTCACTCACTGTATGCTTGTCTCACTCAATCTCAGCCCCAGTGAATCCTGGAGTTCCCTCTGTCCATTTTCTGTACGTACTTAGCCCAGCAAGTTTTGCTGTTCTGAGTGTGCTTCACTCCTCTGCTGTTATTTTCTTATTTAATGACATTAGGGATATAATCAAAAAGTGATATTGATAAAATGCCTCAAGAACCTCTGCATGCCATCTGGAGCAGACTGAAGTCTGACAACTGTGAAGAAAGGTGGATGTCACTGCTGCTTTGGAGGCTCCCATTTTGATCTGACTTTGACCCATATTGCCAGCCTTCTAATAGATATTTAGTCCTCTGGTTAATTTTTTCATTCATTCATTCATTCATTCATGCATTTTCCAAAACAAAACAAAACCAAACCCGTCAAGAGTAGTAGCAAGGCTCAGCAGCGAGCAGTGGGATACAGCAGTCTGGCCACGGCAGAAGAACGTGGTGCAGTGTGGGCTCCGGGTCATCATGATGACCATTGTCAGGGTTGTGATGCTCCTCAGCAATCCCAGGATCATTATCCCCTAACACTGGGCTAATAATGGGACACATTGTATGTGTCTTTGCATGCTGATTGGGGACATAATTAAAGAGATCTACAAGTAGAAGCCATAATGAAAGAACAGTGAAAAAGGAATCAGCATACTTTTCCAAAAACTAGAACTTTGAAACAAGTATTAGGCTTTTGTCATTTATCATTATAAAATTAACGTTTCTTCATGTCATTAATGTCCATAAAAAGTATATTTAGAGCCAGCCCTGATGGCATAGTGGTTAAAGTTTGGCGCGCTCCACTTTGGTGGCCCAGGTTCTATTCCCAGTGGAACCACAGCACTCATCTGTCAGTACTCATGCTGTAGCGGTGGCTCACACAGAAGAACTAGAAGGACTTACAACTAGAATATACAACTATGTACTGGGGCTTTGGGGAGGAAACAAAGAAAGAGAGAAAGATTGACAACAGATGTTAGCTCAGGGCGAATCTTTCCCACCAAAAAAAAAATGAATAAAAGACTTGAATAGGCAAAAAAAAAAAATTATATTTAATGAATACCTTATATCTTAGTAGATATGAATGAACCACAGCTTTTCTTTTATGCCTGGCCTTATTCTTTAAAGAATTTAAGATGAATTCTTTTGTCTGCAAGCAACAGAAAACCTAACTTGAACAAATAGAGTTTTTCCCCTCACATAAGTCTGGAGATGGCTGGGATTGATTCAGCAAGTCCACATTGTCACAGCAAGTGCCTTGGGACTTTCTGGACCATTCTTTCATGCCTTCATGCTTATTGACACATGCTTGCAAGGTAGCTGCCCAGCTCCAGGCATCACATTTGTGCTTAATATGGAAAGAAGGGGGAAGGGACAGTACAAGTAGCATCTGCCCTTTTATTTGGAAACCAAAAGCTTTCCCAGAAGTTCCCCAGCAGACTTCTTACACCTCATCAGACAGAACTGCCTTTTAAAACGTCACCTCCAGCAACAAAGGGAGATGAGAGAGCAAGAATTTCCCTTTCAGGTCTTATTAGAGGCAGACAAGGGAGAGAGGAGGACTCGGAGTAGGAGCTGGTTTAGCCAGGTCGTGATATCAGCCATGGACAGCCAGCCACTATCATTTATTTAACATTCATCCTTTAATGGACACATCTGTTTCCAATTATTCTCTATTATAAGTAATATTACAGTAAACATCCATGTATATCAATTTATCAAAATCTCTGATTATTTCCTTAGTATGATGTCCTAGAAGTAGAATTATAGGTCAAAGCTCTCACTACTTTGACGTCTCTTCATACATATTACTAAACTCCTTTCCAGAAAGATCTTACCAGTGTGCACTACCACTCAGTACATGAGAGATGGGCACTCCCATTTAGGACACACTCAGTCATCCCATCTGTAGGACTGACTGAGCCTTGGCAACTGCCAGAGTACCAGCTGAGTATGTGGGCGGTAACACGCTGTAATTCTGTAGGTTGCACTCAGAGGTGATGGTGCAATTTTAAGGGCACATATTTGAAAGTGTTTTGCAGCACCTGGACCTAAAGGAGTCTGGAGAGGCAGAGCCTGCAAAGACGAGTAATAAGATGCCACAGTCAGCTGCCTGCCTCCTCCATCTGATTTACTAACTGAATAAATACTTGTCTAGCTCCGTGTTTCTCATCAGGTGCACAATGCACATTTCGGGGGGAGAGTTGTGTGCTCTACAGAACACCCCCGACAGTGCAGAACATTTTGCCTCCCTGAGGAGGGAGGCAGGGAAAGGCCAGCAACACTCTCCAGTCTCTGTGACAAGCAGAAATGTCCCCTCCCTCATGGTGCTATGTGCCACCAGCCTTGTGTGGAAAGCCTCCAGGCCCTCAGTCTCAGCACATTGCATGGACTGCTTCTTAGCAAACACACTACGCTCGACAAGGCAGAACTGCCTGAGCATCTGGGGAGGTGGCAGGAAGAAGTATTCAAGTCCCCACACTGATCTTTCCTTAGCGACCTCCAGAAATGCACATTGCCCAACTGTTCTGCCCACAGACATCAAGCAGGAAAAGCTGCCCGGGCAAGCCCTGACCTCAGAACTAGAACTAAAGAGAAAGTCCACAAGCGGTCAAGGTCCTTCAAAGTGGTTTTCTGTAGAGACCCAGAGGGCTGCCCTGTCCCGGGACAGCAAGGAGAGAGGATGTCACTTGAAGCTTAGCAGGTAGGGGTGTGGGATGATGGAGAGAAACCTGGAACATAATGGGGAGTGAGAGCCATTAAACCAGGGCCATGACAAGGAAGAAGAGAGAACGCAGGGCACCCACATTTGCCTGACTTGGCCACCCTTGAAGGGAGAGTGGAAGTAAGCGACAGGTCAACAGGCCAGTCCCTGGATGGGGCCGAGTTTTAAGCTGAAGAAACAGCACGGGCAAAGGCATAAAAGTAGCGTTTCAGGGACCCCCGAGGTTTGGTCTGCCTGGAGTGCTGGGCCACGCTGATGGGTGGTGCACGCTGTGTGTGGCTTTTGTCCTGTGCCCCAGAGTCAGAACCCCTGCAGAGGGGAAGGAGGGGCTGGGGCAAAGGGCAGAGACATCAGTTAGGGGCCTCGTGACAGTCTGGGCTGTTCAAGCCCAGAGGGATGGCTGTGGGGTCCACACGAGAGTCAGAATTGATACTTGGAGGAGAAGTAGGATGTAACGTAGAATGGTTCCCTGACACCTGACATCCTTCATGGGAGAGGGGTTGTTCCATGTTCAATAATGAAGTTTCTAAATTAAAACAAGATTTCTCTAAAGATCTCAAATGACCAAAACAAAGAGTTGGAAGTTTATTCTAAGAGAGGGTTAACATTTGTCTATTTCTTTAGATCATAGTGAGTAAAGTTTTGTTTTGTTTATTTGCCTTCGAACCAATTCATAAAAATTAATAGTTTTAAACATTTTAAAATTCAAAATAAGAAGAGTTTTCTTTAGTTCCACTGGATAATTGAATATATACTCACAGCTTGGACCACTTTCCTCACTGCACAGAGGGCAGCAAGACCAGTGGAACTGTCTTTTAGTTCCAGGTCGAAGCATCTGGCCTGTCTGAGCAGCAGCAACATAGAGGGCACCCTCTAATCTTGGTCCCTTTCGTCCAAGGAGCACTGCTACCTTCACAGAGAGGGCCTGCAGGTCTTACCTCCCTCCATCCGAGAAGCAGTTCACTGTGTGTGACCATCGTCCCCATCTTACAGATTTGGGACACAGGCTCCTGCCTGGGGACACGCAGCAAGTTAACCACTTATGTAACATTTGCAAAGTGAATAATAGAAGAGGTAGTAGGTTAATATGGCAGAAGTTATGAAGGTGGCATGGGAATGATGGCAATTGGGGAGAAAGTTGCTCTAATCTCACAAGAACAGAAAGGTGGAGAGTAGGAATTGGCCCCAGCTGTATACAAAGCACCAGTGCTCCTTCAGAGAGAAGGAGAGACCAGGGAGAGACCAGGACGGGGAATCAGGCGGCCAGGGAAGAGTTACATTTCCCTCAGGCACCTCATTTCTCTTTCTGGCTCTAGTTTCCTCATCTCTGAAGGGGGAGCTGAGTAGCCTGTGGTTGTCTCGTTCATCCCAGTGCCTGTGCGGCGTACTGGACGCTAAGCAGTGTACCGGTGCTATAGACGCTTACTTAGTCCTGAGTGACATGACACTGGGGAGACTGACCCAGACACACATATACATGTACGTGCATGTGCACACACGCTCCTGGGACAGTTCTTCAGCACCTCCCTCACTTGGAGGTGGGAGTGCAGCTGCCCAGTGAAATGATCTTCCAACGCGCATCAGTCACAGCGGCCTGCCCCTTTGGGTGGTTGGACCCGACAGCTTACCTGTTGTAGCCTGCTATTAACAAGCAATGTTCCCTTACAGGTTAGCAATCCGAAGCAATGGGCGACTGGAGCTTTCTGGGGAGACTGTTAGAGAATGCTCAAGAGCACTCCACGATCATCGGCAAGGTCTGGCTGACGGTGCTGTTCATCTTCAGAATCCTGGTGCTGGGAGCCGCAGCGGAGGAGGTGTGGGGAGATGAACAGTCAGACTTCACTTGTAACACCCAGCAGCCGGGCTGCGAGAACGTCTGCTACGACAGAGCCTTTCCCATCTCCCACATCCGCTTCTGGGTGCTGCAGATCATCTTTGTGTCCACACCCACCCTCATCTACCTAGGGCACGTGCTGCACATCGTGCGCATGGAAGAGAAAAAGAAGGAGCGAGAGGAAGAGCAGCTGAAGGGAGGCCACCTGCCCCCCAAGCCGGCGGGGCCATGTGGGCCCCCAGTGCGGGACGACCGTGGCAAAGTCCGAATCACGGGGGCCCTGCTTCGGACCTATGTCTTCAACATCATCTTTAAGACGCTGTTTGAAGTGGGCTTCATTGCCGGACAGTACTTCCTGTATGGCTTTGAGCTGAAGCCACTCTACCGCTGTGACCGGTGGCCTTGCCCCAACACAGTGGACTGCTTTATCTCCAGGCCCACAGAGAAGACCATATTCATCCTCTTCATGCTGGCAGTGGCCTGCGTGTCGCTCTTTCTCAACATGCTGGAGATCTACCACCTGGGCTGGAAGAAGTTTAAACAGGGAATGACCAACCAGTATAGCCCAGACACCCCTGAATCCAGGATGGGGGCCACAAAGCCTGGGGGTGTGAGCCCACTCCTCCTCCCCTCCAACTCTGCCCCTCCCACCATTACCATTGGATTCCCGCCTTCCTACACTCACTCTGCCTCTTCCCTAGGACAGGCAATGGCCACGGGCTATCCCGGGGCCCCTCCACCAGCAACAGACTTCAAAATGGTAGCCCTGTCTGAGGCACATGGGAAGGGCCATGCTGCCAAATTCTACAATGGCAACCACCACCTGCTAATGACAGAGCAGAACTGGGCCAACCAGGAGGCTGAGCAGCAGAGTTCAGCTAGGAAGGCCTCCCCGCCAGTGTCCGCTTCTGCATCCCTGACCCCTCCAGGCAGCCCCCAGCAGCTCCCTCAGGGGGACAGAGCAGGAAGCAAAGTGCCTGTCCTGCTGGCGAATGGGAATGGCAGCCCCTGGGGAGAGAAGAAGTTGGAAGTGACTCCTGATGAGGAGGAGCGGGCAGTGGCCACCGTGGTAGCGATGCATGCGCCTCCTTTGCCCCCTACAGACCCGGGACGGTCAAGCAAGGCCAGTAAATCCAGCGCTGGTCATGCCAGACCAGATGACTTGGCCGTCTAGTGGTGGTCTCTCCAGACAGCTTTATAATCTTTTTTCTAGCAACCAAAACCAAAGTGTGGTTCAAATTAGCAGATAGAGAGCCTGAAAGTGTTAGAGAGCACTGGAGTTGGAGGAGGGAGGATGTCAAGCGCAGAGATCAGGTTTCTGTGTGTCAGTGCTTGCTGTTCTTAACACTGTGGGGTAGGGGAGAACATCAGTGCTTTCTGAGATGGGGAGGTGGGCGCAAAGTGGAGTGCAGGTGCTGTTGGCCTTTCAAGATATTCACAGCAAGCCAAGACCCAGAAACCTGGGCGCCTTTGCAGGTGTTGCTGTGGGCCGTGAGCCCCCACTATCTGGGTGGTGACTGTTCTGTGATGGTAAAGCAGCAGGTGTCTGCAGTCACTACAGGGCAGGACAGTTAGGTCTTCTATTCCTAAGCTCTCCAGAGCCTCTGGGCAGCCAAGAAAGTCATGGTGCACTTAGCCCTATCTCTGTTTGATACTTTTAACTTAGAGTTGAATTTCAGTTGGGATATTTGCCAAACTGCACTAAAAAAAGATTTAGAGCAAGTCCATCTAGTGTCATTTGAGTTTCTGAAATTGCATGCGAAGCCCAGGATATCAGACCGCACCCTTCATGACAAGTGACAATGAGCAGCTACCCTCCGGAGGCAGAGATTCAGCGGGCAAGGGCCACAGAGGTTGCTGGTAAGAAAGCAGGTGGAAATGCAGCAACCCTTGAGATAATTTTTAAACAGCTGAGGAAATTGAAATAAAAGTATGGCAGGCATGCCTTAGGTATTTGTTTTTTAAATGATATTTTGTGCTTTGATCTGAATTGTACAGGTATGCCTATTTTTCCCCACTTTCTACCTTTCAGAAAAAATGAAAGAAAAACAGTATTATTAAAATGGATACTGACCTAGAGAGTGCTGATTTGTCCCATTACATACTAGTAAAGATTTGAACTTTCTTTCAGAAGAAATTCTTCAACTACATGCGTCAGCTAATTACTATGAGAATGTATTACATAAAATAAAAGCAGGGAAAAAATTTAAGTGCACTTCAAATACTTGAAGTTGTGAAGTTTTTGAATGGGAGATAAAAAGGTAACCACTGTTGCCAGAAAAATTATTTATACCAATGAATCAATGACCTACATTTTTTTTATCAGTACAAAATAAAACTCCTCAAGTTTCCTAACCTTTCTTTATAGGCAGCCTGTTTGCTTTCTAAAGTGTAAATAAAAGTGTCTGGGTTTTACTTCCTGTGTGGTATCTGTGCTGATTTCAGACTGGGGCCCCATTTGTCATCTGCAGGGATTGCTGGGGTGACAGGGAGGCTATTTATGTGCGTGGGTGTGGCTGGAAGGCGGCAGCATTTTCTGTGCCGCACACCCTGCTGCATGCCTCGGTCACCGCTTGTTTATAGACCCTGAGCAGTGGTAACGCGGAGCCTGTCCTCGTCACACTTGTGGCCTCCAACTTCTACAAATAGCGTCAGCCCTTAGTCAGCAAAACACCGTGCACTCTCCAATGGAATTCGTTTCTTTTATGAATTTGATGATGTATTTGGGGCCACACTCCACAATGTACTTTGTGTTTTATATTGTAAAGAGTGACCCACGAACAATCCGATGAAAAGCCCTCGACAACCTCTGCTTTGATTTACGTGTGCGGCTGGTTCATCAGTACGTTATGCTCGCTGCGGAACGGAGTTGAAAAATGCTAACGTCCCAAATATATCTCGCAGCCTTTCTCGAACAGATTGACAGAGAGAAGGAAGCCCTACGGAAAATTATTGGAGTGACGATTTTCTCGATTCTCCATAAGCTGGTGCCGAACTGGTGCCGCTCTCGATGCACAGGAGAGAAATTAGTTCATCACATACAGTGGACACCTCGGCCTCGGGCAGCAGGGCTTGTTCTCCTGGGTGAGAAGGGCTGCTAGAAAATCCCAGTGTGAAAAGCATTCTGATATCAAAGCTTTGGTCCTTTTAGAAAATGCAACTGCAGCTAGCAGACAGCAAACGTACAACTCACTGAGTGGATATGAATACTTAGTTCTTTAGGTTCTACCGCAGTAAATGTTAGTAACAATAATAAGCTTCTTGTTTACTCACGATTTAATTTTGAGTGGGGTTGGAGATGAGAGTGAGAGCTATAATTGTATTTAGTTTTTACATTTTAGAATTGGATTTTATTCACATGTTCATGAAGATGCCAGTATTGTGCAATTGACCATAGTCTATTAGCCCATTTAGTGCATGGGTAGGAGTGTAAAATTAGATTCACCTATTTGAAAACCACTAATTTATAAAGAAGCAAAATTTTGCAATACAACAGTGCCTATGGTATTTTTTCAGGTTACTGTTCTGATTTCAATTTGTGTAAAAGTTGAGAGCATGTCTTACATTATGTTGCAATTTGAGGTACCCACGACCCTGAAGGCTAGGTCCTTCTCCCTAACGGGGATGTGGGCAGTGTGAAAGGCTCCTCTCTATTTAACCATTCACTTTAAGCACTGAAATGTGCAATAAAAATAGAAATTGCCTCTCCCTATGGGCAAGATTCCAGGTGTATTTTTTCTAGCCCATTAATTATTTGGAAATTTCACTGAAACAATTTATCTCCCAATTTAATAGAAACAATTTTCAATCCCTAAGCTTATTTTGAAACCCTAATGCTATACCTATTATATTTACACACATTATTTTTTAATCTGCAGTACACAAATTACTTTCTTCCATCCCTATTTTTAGATGCCTGCTCATCCAGTTGACACTGCACAATCTATAAATAGTTATAAAATGTCAGCATTACTACAGTCACAGTCCCCAAATCCAATTTTTAAAATTCTAAAATATTTCTTATAGAATCCCTCACTTCCTACTTTTTAAACTTTATTTTACTGAGTTATTCTTTTTTCCCCATGAAGTTGACAAAAAAGATACCTTAATTAAAAAGAAAAAGAGAGAAAGGGAAAAAGAGTAAGTCAGAATATTTCTGATATATCCTGGCTTTCTTTGATCTTTACGTAAGTGGCTAGAGCATAGATTTCTTATACAAGAACACCTAGAATAAGAACTATGAATACAATTTAAACATCATTTAAAAAAAATCAACGTAAAGAGATTTAGGTCTCTTTTCAAATAACAATTTTAGGTCAGGTTTTCAAAATAACAATTTTTTATTTTAAATATAATAAGAAGCAAAAACTTCTTTTCAGTTTAGGCTTTTTTTTCTGTTAACACTTTAATTCTTTACCAAATAAAGTTCTTTTCTCTGAAATTTTTTCTTTTAAACTTTTTCTTCTGATATTTGTAACATTAATTTATGGATTTCCACCAAAATAAATTCGCATAGAGTACTGCGAGATTTCAAAGGGTAAATGTTCCCCAGGGAGTTCAGGATGTTCTTTTTTATTTTTGGTGAGGAAAATCAGCTCTGAGCTAACATCCGTGCCCATCTTCCTCCACTCTATATGGGACGCCGCCACAGCATGGCTTGACAAGCTGTGCGTCGGTGCGCGCCCGGGGTTCCAAATCTTCGACCCCCGGGCCCCGAAGCCGAGAGCGCGCACTTAACCGCTGCACCAACGAGCAGGCCCCCAGAATATTCTAAATAACGTTTAAATATAACATGTAGACCTTAAAGTCAGAAAATGTATTTCTCTTCCTAATTTTATATTACACTGCAAAGCTTAGGTTTACTCACTCCAAAATTTTTTATTGCCCAAAGGATTTTTTTTTCTCTTTGCATTATAGAATGTCATAACCAGACTTTTTATGGTCTAAGAGCAGTGAAGTATTTCTAGTACTATATTTGAAGATGTTTGGTATATAAATGTTAACTTAGATCATAATATTTACAAAATTTTTGTTGACACTTTATTTTTGTGCTATAACAGTATGTTTCCTAGACTAAATTATAACTGAAAATAAGCATTTTATAAGTAATAAAAAGTGGCCTTAAATTTAAATCACTAGTTCTGTAGTTGGTTATTTTTATTGATAGAATCCCTGAGCAGGTTTTCAAAATAACAATTTTTTATTATTTTATTTATAATAAGAAGCAAAAACTTCTTTCCTACAAAAGAAGTTTGAGAAATTTCTGCAGTGGCTGTTTTGTTTGTTTGTTTTTGTGAGGAAGATTAGCCCTGAGCTAACATCTGTTGCCAATCCTCCTTGTTTTTGCTGAGGAAGATTGACCCTGGGCTAACATCCCTGCCCATCTTCCTCTACTTTATATGGGATGCGGCCACAGCATGGCTTGACAAGTGGTGCGTCAGTGCACACCCGGGATCCGAACCTGCGAACTCTGGGCCGCAGAAGCGGAAGGCTATGCCACCAGGCCAGCCCCTGCAGCGTCTGTTTTGTCTTTTCACAGGTACTTACCAACTTAAAAGTGTCTTCCCAGGGGTCTTCTAGCGTTGCTACGTCTGGTTACGTGTTCTCCTGAAGAATTAACATTGTCACTGTTAACCTTCTTGTCTGTCTCCTTAAGTCCCCCTTCATCCACGATACTGCTAAGCTCTAATAGGATTTAAGGAGTGGAGAGATCTCTTTGTCTAGCAAGGCTAGAGTTTATCGTTCTTGGGCACGACTTTTCTGTATATAATTACAAATGACTGTACAGTTGTATCTTTGCCTTTATGACACTCGGCAATACCTGTAATGTGTGCGACTCCAAGTTCTTAATCAGAAATACAATTCGCGCTTACACGGTTCCTGCTTTATAAATCCACTTTGGGGATGCTTTCCAGGGACGCAGTATAAGAAAAACGAGACCAACCTGGACTCTTTGAAGGCTCTAAGGAGCCCCAACACTCAAAATTCAACCCCACCAAACACGAACTGGTGAAAAGTTCCCTTATCGCAGACCTAAGTGCAAAAGGCTGTCCTGAGGAGCGGTTTGGGGAAGAGCCCCAGCGCTGCGGATGAAAGGCCACGGGCGGCCCCACACCGAGGGCGCGGGCGCAGGGGCGCTGCGCTCGGGAGGCGGCTCGACCCGTCACCCCGCGGCGGGACCGCCAGCGCTGGGGCCGCGGCCGCCGTGAGGAGGGCTGGGGGCACCGAGGGCATCCCCGG